AGTGCCTTCTTCTGACCTCGCAGCAGCTGCAGTGGGTTCGTATTAATTTAGGCCATAGATAATGTTCTGTATTATATCCAGAAGCACAAACATTCCTGGCATGTATGCCTGGAATTGCATGAGGTTGTTAAAGAATACAAATCCAGGAATTCTTACGACCACATGAAAAAATATATAACACCATGTAGACAGATGACTGCCAAAGTGATTAAGATTGCTGAAGAACAGTCGTCAAAAAAGCTGAATGCGCCAGTTACGTAACCAAGCGGTACGCTATCAAACAACTCTCTGTAGCTAACGCGGTGTGGAGAATCGCGAAGTGAACACAATGAACAATCAACTGAGATGATTTCGGTGGGCACATGGTGATGAACAAGTGTGCAATTAAAACTATCGACTAACATGGCTACGTCTTACATGTCCTAGTCGAAGAAGATCTCTAGCGGTATTGTGGCATTTAATTATGAGTATTCATGACCCATTATCATGCCTTTCAGGAGCAGTTAGAACCCCCATGAGTCGGGGGAAGTTAGCGGTAAGCAAAATAGACGTGATACTTTTGCCGAAATTTCAGTAAGCAGTAATCTTTGCATGGAGCAGTGCCATTTGCAGAGTAAGTTTTGGAGCGTATGTGCTCAGTACACCTCCACGAGAGTTACCAGTGCACAATTCAACAAAACCAGACTGTTGCATCCAGTTGTTTAACACCTTGTCAAAACATCTTAACTACACAGCCTGGTGAAGAGGTAACGCTGTATTGTAAAAAGGAAAACGCAGTTGCGTAATGTGACTGAATGAAGTAACGAACATCGAATAAAATGTTTGAAAACGCGTACTAAATGATAGTTGAAGAAATGGCTTATGACAAAATGATAACATTAACGTCGCTATCAGTGATGTGACCCTGTCACACACTCAGCTGAAGTGTCTGCGTTTCGGACAATGTCAGGAGGACGCAACAGTTGGATAAAATCTCCAGAGAGTTCGTGCCTTGAAAAACCCGCGACAAGATCTCATTGTGGAAGCAGTCCCTATCACATAGGAAATCGTAAGCTTTTATGGCGAAAGAAAATTGTGAGAAACGAGGTTGGTTCCCATGACCGATTCCAGACAAAATCGAGGGCTCCGAATGCAAAGAAAGCAAGTTATGAGCACTGATTAATATGTAAAACAGGCGTAGAGGACAAACAACGTTAAGAACAGGAGATGATAGAAAGGTTAGATGATCTGAACGTGCTATCCAGAAGACCAAGTTAAACGACTGAAAGTTGGGTACAGCTACCACGCACCTCAGCATGTGCCGCTTCCGGCATTACACCCAGCTGGTCGAAAATACACAGTAGCCAATCAGCGACATGACGTCAAACAGGAAAGAAGTGATTGAGGGTCTTAATAGTGTTTATACATTCCGTCTTCCCGGATGAGGTTCACAACGTAAGCAACATCAGTGGTTAGAAAACTTCAGACATCATACCGCTTCTTGAACCAACTGAGCCCACGCGGGAATTCAATGTCACACATAGACACAACCTCAGAAGAGATTCAACAAGAGCTTGTCGTGTTGAATCGAAACAAGGCTCCTGGGCCCAACGACATCGCTTCATATTTGGAGAAAGATAGAAGTAACCTTTTGTTAATTAGACTTGCTGTTCTATTAAACACTATTTGAGACACCGAAGAGGTGTCTTCAGACCTGCAAGTGTTCAACAACGGTGTCCAGTACAAAAACGGGCAAACGGACATTGTCCGAAAAGTAACGTCAGCTTTTGCCCTCTTTCCAATGCCTGCAAACTTTTCATGTGTACCACTCTTAGAACAGTACTTCTGACAGCCGGATCATTGAAAATCAGGTTGACCTCTATGGTCGTGGTTGCATCATGCACATGTTTACTTCTCCTCAGGTGTTAGAGTAGAGGGACCACAACCGGCCCGCAACCTTAAGCATCACAAGCCTGCCTTGTAATCCGGAAGCGCGGGTTCCAGACAGCGTATGGACCGTGCGACTCTCGCAGCATCTTTAAACCACGTGCGACTGCTGGTGTTCGCGCGGCAGCGAAGCGTCGGCACGCAGTACCGACGTACAGCTGATGCCTTTTTCGACTCGAGATCGAGCCAGGTTGTGGCATTACTCATACGTGAGGGATGTGTTCGGTAAACTACTTCACATTCTGAAGTCTCCCGAGGCCGGGTAAGGGTCTACAGAAAGCTGTCTCCTGGGATCCCCACGACAAGTGGGGTTCACAAGGGTTGCTCAGTTTCTTTTCCTCTTCAACTTCGTGATCAAAATAACCGTAAATCACTCCGTTCGTTCAGACACTTCCGGAGTGGACTTTCTGCCAGGTGACCGATTGGAAAACCAATATGCGGACGATATAGCATAACAGTGGTTGTGCAAACACTAACGAGTTGACTGGTGCGTTGCGTTGCACGCCTCGGCGTATTGTGCACCTTCAAAGTGCAAATTATTGTTGCAGCATTAGACCAACAGTTTTAGCTTTCAGCACTCAACTACTGGAGGAGATAACAGTGTCACCACTGGTGGTCACATCAGTGGGGTGATTAGATCAGCAAGACCTGTGTGGCATTTCGGAGACCCAATCAGTTATGGAGACGACGAAATATCGTCTATCAGTGAAAGTTAGGGTGCATAGTTTTGCAATAATACCGGTGTTACCGTACGAATCAGAGATCAGGCCACTTCGCACAAAATACGGCTGGTAGCTTTTGATCACCGGTGCTCACATCTGTTGAGAACATTAGGTGAGCAGTTAGCTTTTGGTAGGAAACACTCTGGTGCCTCACTGGAGTGTTTGCTAAAGCTCAACCGATTTCCCTGGCTAGATCATGTCTTCCCTATGCCCACTGACCGATTTTCTCGGCATGCATTACGCGCTGTCGCAGAACCGAATTGAGCGAAATTGCGAGGTGGCTAGTGGATGACGTGGCAAAAGGGCAAGAAGAAATCAACTGAGACTTGTGGATGGGACCCAGGGATGGTCTACACCGCCCGTTAGAGACTTTACCAAACATGGCGCATTCCGTGGCGTTCCTGCATTCGGTTTCTTGTGTCGCGCTACCAATATTTCGTCCTTCCCAGTTAGCTGGCCGCGCTTTTTCCTGTTTTTAGTTTCTTTGTATACTAATTGCGTTCAACCTAATTTCATTACCAGTAATTTATTGTTGATCTGGATCGGTGAGTCGTGGTAAGCAAATCCACTGCCCTGTTCACGAAAGCTTGCGCTGACGAGAAACCTCTAACTGCACAGGGAGAATCGGTCATAGTCCCGATTCACAAAAAATGCTCCCGCATAGACTGCACCAATTACCGCGGAATTTCGTTGGTCTATGCTGTGTCCAAGATTTTCGTATCCTCCCTACTGCGCAGTCTTTCAGCGATGAAAAAGGGCATTTCCGGTGAGGAACAAAGTTGCCGCGACCAAATCTTCACACTCCGTCAACTTGAACTCCGTCAAGTAAACCGACGGTCAACAAGCGTAGTGTTCTTGGACATCCGGGTGGCTTTTGACTCAATAGGCAGACCTGCGTTGTTGAACTGTCTACTAGGGAAACGTGGGCCCGACAAGTCTGTGATTATCCTGAAGGAATTCGACAGTCACATGTCGGTCAAAGTCAGGACTTACAGCAGGCTTTCCTCTCCTTTTGTTGTCACCAGAGGCGTTCGCTAATGATGCCCTGTTTCACCTAGCCTTCAATTATACTAATGAATATGTCGTCCGATGAGTATTGGAAAGCGCAAAACGACAACAATGAGCTTCCCTTGGTGACAAAATAGCAGACTTAGTGTACGCTGATGATATTGCTGTGCTTGAGGACGATCCGCAAGCCATCCAGAGCACGTTGAACCGCATAGCGATGGCCTGTATTTCACCCCAAGCAGGTGTAAAATACTAATCTAGGATTTTCAGATGCATGTGTCTACGCACATGATTGCTCGTGTTGTCCTGGGACAAGTCCTCCGTTTAAGTTATCTAAAGAGTTGCATCACGGCTGGCGGCGGTGTTGGAGATGAGGTCTCACAACGGATCGCAGAGGCCCGCCATGCATTCATGAAAATGAGACACTTATGGCGCCGTCGCAATGTCAGTCTCAAACTCCAGGGTAGGGTATACATCATCTCTGTCCGTGCGATCCTCTTGTACGGCTGTGAGACATGGCCTATTCGCTCGGAAGACATGAAGCGACTTTCAGCTTTGACAATCGTTGTCTTGCTAGGATTGCTCGCGTGCGTTGGTAACATCACATAAGAAACACAGAAATTCGAGACCGAATGCTTGCAGCAAATAGTTCATACTTCTATAACGTTATTCTCCGACACATGCGTTGGCTCGGCCAGGTATTACGCATACTAGCCTATCACCTTCCCTGTCGAGCGTTATTTGTGCTCCATAGAAGCGAATGGAAAAAGTGCCGCAGTCGGCGACCAATGACGTAAAGAAGGAGCATGAAGAAGGCTACTTTAAACTTAGCATCGGTCGAGACGGTCCGCCCTCCGGGATGGGGGCCACGCGAATCGGACTGGCAGCAGTTGGAAACGTTGGAGGTTATGGTCAGTAGCTACGGCGTTGTTCAACCGTATCAATCGTTAATGTCTAATCGAACATTTGAAAACATAAAAACAAAAAAAACTTAAAATGGAGTGCTTAAGGCTCAAAAAACGTTTTCTTTCGCTATGGTATTTCGTTTTCCCTTTTTTACAATGAGTCCGATGACACATAGATGTACATATAAATTTGTCTTATCATAATTGGTGGTCGAAGGGTAGAGAAACAACGATGTACTGCTGTCGCTGTCGTTGTTATTGCTGCTGTTTGTGCATATACAAGCTGGGTGTTCAAAGAAATCGTAAGTAAGAAGTGCTTCAACGAACAGAAGCACTGCGAGAATAAAATGAAATCAGGTGGAATGGATGAATATGAACCTGCAGAAGGAAATCCTGTTAATATAGTAGTGACAGGTGGAAAATATGCATGAAAGGATACAGAGAAAGATCACGATGATCGTTTCTGCCACGAATTGATAATCGGAACCTGGATAAATAAACGCTTTCTGAAACTGCCAAAACTTCAATGAACTTACTATTTCGCCGTTAGGTGTGGCATGTAGAAGTGGTGGACCACGGATCTGGTTGTACACCTGTCCAGAGATACCGCAGAAAATAACTCCCTGAAAGGAGAAACAAACTGATTGTGAACAGTTGGGGTGCAAGGAAGCATGTGCATAACTTGCTGCATGAATTTCAGCATGACCATGATCCGAGCACCGGAGTGCGAAGGATACAGTTGCTGTAGCTGACATCGCTATGTAGATAGCCTTAAAAAAGCGTTAAAAGGTAAATGGCAAATATAGCTACATCATGGAAATGCCAAAGGTCAAGAGAAAACGCCGATATTGGCGTGTATCCGGTAAGTGACTTCCGTTATATTCTTTTTCAGTGTGTAGGCAGTTGGAGGGAACGCCACAGCGTGCGAAGCAACCGTTAGTAGTGCAATCGAAGCAACGGATCTTAACCATCGCCGCGAAAGACTTCAATCAAACGGGAAGTAAACTAAGTTATAGCAGGCATTTTATACAACGCATTTATCATATAGCTTAAACTGGTTCAAGCAACAAATAGTTGAGCGGTAGACGGAGACACATTTGCAGATGATGTGAAGAGCCAATAGGATGTACGCAGCAGCAGTGGAGACTGGGATGCCCCACACATGAACACTAGGTTACTGCAAGAGAAAGGACAAGTGATTTCTAGTCGAGTAAGTCACAAATCAACCATGATTAAAATGATCCTTTCATGTGCACACAAATTTGGGGAATACGACAGAGAGGACTTACCAGAGATAAGACGCACCATAAAGCAGGGTTGGTAAAATAGCTAACATCGATACGCTTGAACCACAAGAGGGCGACTCCAGCAGTAAGGAAAATCGCCAACAGCATGATCCACGCGTAACTTGGTGGGCGAACCACGTAAATCTTAGAGTTGAATGATGAGATTTTATCTTACTCTTATTGACGTGCGTTCTGCGATCCACGAAGCGATTGCCTCGGCACTGTAGCCAAGCTGCTCAACGTTCATGTGGTCAGAGGGACTGACCACTCCATGAGGCCCAATGTGAACAATTGATGGGGCCTTATTCAGCTTAAGCTAACAGAAATAGATAAACAAAAAAGAAACAAGACGGACCTTTTCGAAAACATCGGGGGACCTATCAAAGTCGATGACAGCCAAAAATAGTTGATCATTGCGGTGCTTGGAACGTCTCCAAGAGTTTGACAAGTCCTCGAATTGGTGCAGGGCATCCCTAAAACATAAGGACATGAATGCTGACTTACACGCAGGGCTTGCAACCTCGATGATGCGATAAGGCTGTTAGAAGCAACACTAAAGAGTAGTTGCGGCGTTTCCCAGCGGTATATATGTCGAACTGCTCGGAGTCGAAGTAAATAGGTGAAGACGAAAGAGTCAGGTCGTTTAGCTTTCGTAATCTGGCATCTAATAGAGAATAAGTAATAGTAAATGGAACGTGCCATGCTCAGGTACGGTTGCGTCCGCGAAGTAACAAGCAGCAAATATGCAGGTGATGAGTGCATGAAAACTCATCTCAGGAGTTGCTCACGATATGAGCAAAATCAGGCAAGGGAACAGTTTGGAGTTGTAAATACAACAGTAACAGCGAGGTTCCAGAAGGTGGCAGAAACTAAAAGGGTATTGTGAAATTAGAAAAGTGATTCCAGGATAAACATGATATCATCTTCTTCAACAGCAGTACATTAGTCATTCAAACAGATACTTCGCAGCGCACGACCACAGTGAACGAAAGGGGGACTTGACATAAAACTTTAATGTCATATACATTATTGTGTTCTGAAGTGACTGTGGTATGTCTGGATTACCGAACACAACCTCGATTGAGGATAAAATCTGCACTGGGGCAAAATGGAGTGCAGTGTCGGAAGAGAGTAGCTCCGGAACTCTCCACATGGTGCCCTAAGTAAACATTCAGCCGTTACCGCGAAGATAACTCAGCACCAAACACACTTTAAACAGACAATTCGACTAAGAGACGACAGCAGACACGCCACTGGTGCCGACCGTGAGCCAAGCACAAGGCGAGTCACGTGGACGCTAGTCTGGAAGGAGACGGACGGACGGCACCAAGTTTTGTAGTCAGTGACTACAGTTTACGCTGCGGTTAACTTTCGCTCACCTCGAAATTTGATCCAATCTATATCTAGCAAACAACACCACACCCTCCGTGGTAACCCGGCATACGTAGTATGTGCCCCAGCCAACGCCCCTTACTCATTGCTACCTGTTGTTCTAAGGAACTAATCTGGTAACCACCGCCTATCACTTGTATACGCACATCATTGTGGACACGCTGGTACCGTCCGATATCAGCGATGCTCGCATACAGCGATGGTCAAATACTTGAAGACGCCGCAAATCGCCCCGTTACATTCCTATCGAGTAGGACGGTCCTCATCGTGGCCTTGTAAATATGGCCTTTCAAACAGAGGGGAATGTATTTCTGCCATCGCAGAGGTCGCAGATTCAAGAAGGCAGTTCTAGCTTTTGCAATGCGTGAACTGCCTCCACTTGATGTGTGCCCATCGTTGCTGATACAACATCTAAGGGAAGTGAGCTGATCAACTACCTCGAGTTCCTCGCAATCTAGGATCAAGGGATCACCAAGTGGCTGGTGGTCCTGCAGCAACACTTTGCACTTGGAAGGTGCGATGCGTATGCCGAATGATGGGAGCACTCTAGAGAAGCGATTCAGCACTGAGTGAGCGAATATAACATTGTTAAACAGCAAAACATCATGGTCCGCACAAGCAAGATCAAGTGGAGTTATTAAGTTCAGAACCGGTCAGGAAGTGGAGTGTTTTCGGGCGGACAACACTCGATATTCATCTGTTTCCCCAGTTACGGACCCAGCAACCGAATTGGCTAAGGTTCGCTTCAATGTGAATCACAGTCTAAGCTGAGAATGCGTGTGGTAATTAATTCGCGCAAAGTGTGCTCCAAATTAATCCTGCAACCAATATCAACGGAATTTTCAGCAGGCAGCACCTCAATGCTTGCACCGCAAGATTCCACGGGGGAAACACTTCATGATGGAGTCAACGAGGAAGTTGAACACAATTGCGCAAAATTGGACAACTTTGACAGTTGTTACTTGTAGGCGGGAAGATGTCCGACATATTCCCGTAGATAGTAGCGAAGCCTGTTGTATTCGAGTACAGTACACGTAAAAGGTTCACATATTTTAAGCAACTTGAAAATTCCCAGTTAGAGTTAAAAAAAGAACACGAGACCATAGGTAAACAATTGTTTGCGATGATTCTCTTCAGACCATTACAATCATATTTAAGGGTAAAATAAGGAACTGAAATCGACTCATTGGCTCAAATTACATAGTTAATTAACGGTTCAGTGAGGGAGGCTAAAAGTTGACCTTTGACCTGACAGGTCGATTGCATGGTACCGAGCTTGATCTGTGGCAATCGACCTCAGCATCGTTCGTTCTAGCTGGCCAGGGAAGCTGTAAGGCATGGAGCAACTTCTTTTGCGAGCATAAAGAAGGTTGAAACAACCGGATGCAAATCGATTCAGCTGTCGCGAGTGCACGGAGGCGCAAACCTCTTGATTGATGCTGGGGGACCCTATAAATTATCCTGAAGGCACGCTTTAGATCAACTTAGTGCCCAGTGTCGACAATATGGGCCAAAACGGCGCTGCTAATGGTCTCAGTTCCTCCTTGACGCAACCAGCGCGGACATTACTTCTTCACGCGTTTGGACAAGTGCCGTGCCGTTCGACCAATATAAGTAGCGTCACAAGCGCACTTGAACTGATACATAACCATAGATGAGGTCAGCAATGGCAGCATATCCTTATTGCGTGAACAAACAAGTGGTTCAGTAGAAAATGTACACTTTAACCTGGCTGCTGGGAATGTCGACTTGACTGCCGCTGAAAGACTTTTGGTTAGGCGCTTGGCAGCGGCATCCCCTTTAAAAGGTAATCTTAAAAATAACTTCTTCTTCACTGCGGTTAAAACTGGTACCGGCTTGGGCTTTTCTTCAAAATTCTTTGCAACGATTCGAGCAGCCTAGGCATTCTGGCTCAGTTTATTGTTTATAAAGGCTAGTTTCTCATCCAGGGTGTCCTGTGAGCAAATTCTACGTGCTCTTGCGGTAAGGCACTGGATTAAATTTCGGTCATATCTCAGCGAGACGAAACATGGAATATTTGTGTACTGACCAATCCAAGTATCCTTTCTGTAGACTTTCCACTGGAAGGAGCCGTCTGCTCTCCTAGTTAACAAGACATCTAGATACGGAAGCCGATTGCAAGTTTCTGCCTCGTAGGTAAATTGCAGTGCTGCGTGAGCCCGGTTAAACCGATCGAGAACCTCATCCAGATTTATGCATTTATCCTCCACTACAAATATACCATCCATATAATGGTGGTAGTAGTCAAAATATTTTATCTCCGCTTGCAATTTTGTTCGCTCCAATTTGGCCATGAATATATCTGCGAACAACGGACCGAGGGGGATCCCATGGCTACACCGTCCTTTTGCCGGTAAAGTTTACCATTAAATAGAAATTGCACATTCCATGTGCACCGCAGCAATAAGTTTTTCAACTCAAGCACAGGTATACAAATTTTAATTTCCGACTTCGTTATGTGCTCGCAAATGTAATCGATGGTTTCGATCAGCGGGACGTTAGTGAAAAGCGAGACGGCATCAAAGGAGAGCATCACTTTCTCATTAATTTTGGCCTCCTTGATGCTCTCGACGAACTGAAAACTGTCACGCAGGCTGTAAGTCACAAGCTGTTGTCTCACCTGCTCAAGAATTCCTACGAGCCACTGGACAACTGCGTGGTATGGGGAGTTGACCATTGACAGAATAGAACGAGCGGGATGTCAGCCTTATGGATTTTTGGAAAGGGGTAAAGTCTCGGAAAGTTTGTGCCGCAAGATCTAAGACTGTCATACAAGGCATCGGTTAGGTACCCCTTGGCCCGAAGCTGTTAGAGGCTTTTATTGATCTGTTTTTCAATCTGTCCCGTTTACTCAACTTTCCTCGTGTCGCAGGAAAATTTCGTCTTATCGCTCAGAAGAGTTGTGAGTTTATCAATATACTCTTTTCTGTCTAATAACACAATCCCGGCACCCTTGTCCGGTTTGCACAGAATGACCTCCTCATTGCGTTTAAGCTCTTTCAGCAAGTCCAGGTGCTTTCTTGTTAATGGACCATGATTAGGTACACGGCGTTTACGATATTGGTGGCAACAATGTACCAAGAAACCTTTAAAGCATTTGTGATCCGCATTAGACTTAGGCGTTAACCGATGCATTTGGTCGAACAGTTTTCGAATTGTAACTCGTAATGAAGTTGGTTGTCTCTATGACTAGGTGCACAAAATTTTAAACCGAGCGACAGGAGTTCAGTTAATGTTGTATCCAGTTTCATGCTCGAAAAGTTGTGTACCTTTCGGGCTTATTCGGAAACACAGTTTGCGGTTGTATCTGGCTCAGCGATTTTTTATAAAACCGAACGCCTCCGATGTGCAAGATTACTGGTAATAGACTAGATATAATCCAAGAACGTCTGCTTTTCCTCTGCGGCTAAATCCTCCAGTACTAAGTGTCATTGTGCTAAATTCCTTTCGGATTCCGCTATCTTGCACTGCACCGTATCACGTTGGTTAAGTGCATGTCGTCTAAGCGTCTTGCTATTAGGATAAATCCGAGTACGAAGTAGCTGCTTCCAAAATCTATCGGGATACTCATTACGCTCAACACACTCATCGAAAAATTGAACACTGGTTTTGGCTTCAGCAACCTTTGTGGAAAACCTCAGGAACTGATTGAGCTCCTTCACCAATGAGGGAGGCTTGGAGAGTTTAAGCAACATGAAAATTCACATTTAGAGTTAAAAAAGAACACGAGACCATAGGTGAACAATTGTTTGCGATGATTCTCTTCAGACCATTACAATCATATTTAAGGGTAAAATAAGGAACTGAAATCGACTCATTGGCTCAAATTACATAGTTAATTAACGGTTCAGTGAGGGAGGCTAAAAGTTAACGCACATTATTGTGAATCAAAGTACTCGCGCCGTCTCCGATTAGCTCACAAACGCCTGGTTTCCTGCGAACAGGAATCAGAATCATTTGGAAGAGCCTGTGCTAATTGCCTACTGCTCTCGTAGGTTTCATTTTCTGAGCCATACTGGTTCCTCCCATTCCCGCTTAGCCTCCTCCAACCATGATATTAGTTCCTAGGCATAAGGTAACTCTTTTTGTCGGCACCATAGCCGGCTGGCAGCTCTCCGAAACGATGCCCAAGCATTACTAGTAACTCAGCTGAAGTGTCTCTGTTGCGAGTATTTCTTCTTATGTATTGCATCACAATATCTGAGGTGTTTTCCATCTCTAGCAAACGTGCATAATGATGATGACTTGTCAATACGCATGCTCCGCTCTAGTTCGTGCCTAATGGTTCGTATGATTAGATTGTGCCCAAAACCAGCCTGGAGATTTCTACCGGATACCAACAGGCTCAC